AGGAAGGATGGGCGTTTGCGATTTGTTTTGGAGTTTGCTCATTGTGGCGGTGGTCGAGCTGTTGTCGCTGCTGGTATGGTTAACCGCAGACTTCTGTTCCGCTTGTGTAGGGGCAGAGCTGGTCTGCTCGATGGTGTTTGTCTCTTGGGGGAGAGTGGCCTTGGATGTACCTGTTTTGCTAGTTGCAGGTGCAAGCAATATGTCTTTTTTTGCTTGATCGGTGAGTTGAGATAGAATATGTGCTTCTTCGTCGAGTTTGTCCTCGGGTTGTTGCTTAGGTTCCACGATGTTATTGCTTGTGTATGCATTGGCCTCTTCTGCTTCAGCCCGCTGCATTCTTTTGAGAATCTTTCGTTCTTCAGGAGTCAGCTCCTTCTTCTTTGGTCCTTGTGGCTTGGGTATTTGTGGTGCGGAAACCTTGGTTGGTGCGTGTTTGTCTTCATTCGAGCCTGGATCTACTGGAACAAGCTTTGAAGACACGGCTTTCTTCTTCTCCCTGATATTAGCAATTCTCAGAGTATGCTGAGCCTGAATGGATTTCTTCATCTGAATAACACGCTTTTCACGCTCTTCCTTGGTGGTAGGCTTGAAGCGGTCTTCAGGTACTGAGATCTTCTGCTTCTTCTTGGGCGCCTCCTTGGGATACCGAGCTGTGTCACCATCATCCATTCGAGTACGCTTATTGGAAGGCTCCTTGACTGAATCTTCAATAGCCAAACCCTTGGCAAGTTCCTTGCGCTGACGCTCAGCATGAGCTTGTCGCTGCGTTTTCTCGGCCAATATCTCACGTTGAGAGAATAGATCATGCTTCTTGCGTGCAGCCTCCTCCTTCTTCTCAATAACATCTTCGGCATTGCCGCGGAAAAGATGCGAGTACATGATTCGCACTTCTCGGTGAACTCTCTCAAATGAAGGCCGGGTCACTGCGCCATTCCGCTTATCCCTGCCCAAAGACTTTCTGTCTTCTTTCTCCATGGACTTTGCAATGATACGCTCAGCTAGGACATTGCATCGTGATTGAATGTTGGGCGGCTGGCACTTTTTGTGATCGTCTCGAGACGAGGGGTAGTCCCAGTAATGTCGGAAGTGGGCTATCCAGGAACCCTTCCTATTGTCAGAATCGGACGACTCCCAGTCTATGGCGTAGTACTCGTGCTCACAAAGCGAGACTTGACAGTTGACTCGAGTGCTCCTATCAGAAGCAAAGAGATTGGCGAGGTAGGCGGCGGGTGTATGCCGAGGCGGTGTCTCTGTGTAAGAGGACTTTTGACGCTGTGTCTTCTGGGCATGATGTGGATCATCAGGAGTTTTACGGTAATCCGGACGGTAGGAATCGCCCTTGGACGCAACGCTATCCCGCAGCGTGTTTCGCATACGCTGCAAGGTCTGCAAACTGGGCAGTGAAGGGGGGACTCGCGGTCGTTTATGGGATCGCTCGTATTCCTCGTTCTTGCGACGATTATCCTCCATCAGCTCAGGCGAGATGAAGTCATCGTGGCCCCTCTTTGCATGAGCGATCAGATGCCCTAGTATAGAAGCCGAAGACTTTGGGGGAGCCCGCCGACGTGGCTCTGGTCGGAGATGCTCAACTTTTTTCTGTGGTTCCATGGTGAGTAATTGGCCACTCGACTGGTGCCTGACGTTGTTCAAGGAAGGGGATTTGGAGTTGTGGATAATGGAGAGCGTGTTTTGGTGGTCGCCAACGCCATGGAGCGGCTTCAACACTAATGGTAGTCTTAGTTTAGAGGTTCAGTGACATATAATACCTGTTTGGTGGTTCATTGATACTCCTAGGATAAAGATTGGTAGATTCTGTAAGAGTGTGCACTCTCTGATGGAGAGATATTGAGACTAGTGCGACATGAAGAGGAAAAGGGAAAAGCAGTCACAAACAAACAGGCCGATGTGCAACCATATAGAGTGAGGCGGTGAATTCAACACAATGTTGTTGTTCGAAGATCTAGGGGAAATGGGCGACAACAGCGATGTGAAGGTGCGCGAACAATGGGATAAAACCAGTCAACTGTGAGTGAAAGGCGAGAGGTTAGTAACAATGTACATTGCGCAAGTCATTGTTTCCTTGTTTGGAACGATGATATCTTTGATGCGAATCGCGATAGATAAAAGCAAATGCTGTGAAAATCGTTAGCATAGCAAACGTACATGGCAGATTACGGGGCTTGTCGGCCCTGAACAAGCTCAAGAGGGCGACTGAAACGTTCATTCTACTCAGCGAAGGCCAAAATATGTCAACTGTAGCATTTCATTCGATCATCTCCCGGATTACTGAGCTGCAATACCTTGCATAGCCTTCAGATACTCCTTCCTGTATGGGTTCTCATCTGTCTCATTGCCTCTGTTCAGCGGCGTCCACTTGGGCTCATCCTTGAACAGCCGCATGGCCTTGGTGTACTATCACATATCGTCAGTAAAAGCCCCAATAGGTATTTCAAAATCAGAAAAACCCACGTTCTGCTCATCGGTGGTAAAGCGATGATAGATGCCACTCGGTAGAATAATCAAGTCGCCCTTCTCGAGCCAGATCCTTACCCAATCGTCGCCCTCGCTTCTGACATCAAAGTAGCCTGCGCCATCCAGGATATACCGAATCTCTTCATCCTCATGGAGATGCTCGTGGAAAAAGGTCTTCACTTTCTCTTCGTAGATGTCGCCCATCTTTTCGGGCGAGACGGTGATTTCATCCCGGTTCTTGTAGTTGCGCGATGTGGCAATGGCATCGACGCCTGCAACTTCAGGAACATGATGGTAGATGACACCCAGCTTTGCCAGATAGTCTGGGTCAACGTTGCGACCAGAGTCATGGGGTTCGCGTTGGTCGCCCTAGGGTGGGGATAAGTAGAGTATTTTAGATCGCAGGTGGGGTACTAAGAACGCTTACGGGCAGGTTGTCGAACCAGTAGGCTTTCATGTTGTGATTTTCTTTTTGATAGAGAAGATGGATATGTATGGTATGTATTGCTGTGCAGGACTTCAGAAAGCTGTGTTGGGCATCGGCGAGATTCGAGAAAGTGGTTGACAAACCCGAGGGCCGATGACGCAATTGGTCAGAACGAAAATAGAGGCGCGCATTGGCCAGAGCACCATCATCACTCCGGGTTCAACCTCAAGAACCAATATTCGCGCCAGCAGTGCTTTTGATGGTATTTCAGAGCACATGCTAATACCGTACTCATACATTTTTCACCAACAGTCTACATTGTTTTGATGTGTTGACTGGTCTTTTGCCAAGCATACAGTTGGATTGATACATGGTTGATGTCCTGGTGACTCTGCCTCTGTTCTCATTGCATGGCTATGATGAGATTATTCCTTGATCCCAGGATCAGAAGAAAAGGTGCCATCAACCAAGTTCTGCAGCTGTCCACTGTACAAACCGCTCCACGCCTACACCAGAGACTTGGGCCGTTCGGATAGCTGTTGTGCATCTATAGTTAGAGAGCGATCAATCCCAATCTTCGTCCTCTTCCTCTTGCTTTGCGTTTTTCTTTTGCAGCCGCCGCCTCTCATCCTCTTCGGTGACTTTGTTCCTCGCAAGAACATTGGCTCGTATCAGCCTGGCCTCAAGATCGCGGGTTGTGAAGTTCTCAGGCGTTCGACCCAGGCCTTCAAATCCAATGATGCGGTCAGCTCCTATACCATCGATGAATGCAATGACACAGGGCAGGACTTGAACACCCAATCGAGTGACCAGAAACGGACAGTTGTCCACGTTGATTTTCATTATTCTGGCCTCATAATGTGACAGCGCGAGAGACTATATATCATCAGATGGATGGGCACGGGAGACACGTGAGGCAACTAACCTCTAGGTGCGTGTCCATGATTCTACAGCGATTGAAGTCAGGCTTGAAGAAATGAACGACACAAAGCTTCGTACTCGTCGTAATGTCCAACAGCGCCTTCTCGTCCTTGATCTCCGTGTATCTGCCATGTTCGCTGGCCTTGAATTCCTGGGCTCTTCCATACTCTTCGTGCAACTGCTGGATCCGCCGTTCTCGAAACGCATCCAGCTCGGAATCGTCCTCTAGCTCGGCAATCAGAGCATCTTCGTCCGAGTCATCTTCTCTGGCGGCACGATCGACGATTGAGGCGACCTTGGGGTCCAGAGCAGCCATGGTCGAATGTTAATCGCCTTCAGTGGCTAGCTGATATGAGTATGAGCGAAAGGGGGTTTGAGTGGGTGGGTGTATGTATGTGTGCTGGGGACCCTGCATGTAGATAAGACCATGCCAGGGGGGAAAAAGGTTTCCCCCCACCTTGAAGTTCGGGGGGGGGGGGGGGGGGCGTGGGGGCCTCTCCCTACCTATAAGCTATTTTCTTCTTCTTTCCCTTTTCTTGGAGAGAAATTTAGTTTGCGCCAGAGCGAGATATGGACTGATGTGAAATAGTTATGGAGGGTGTACATGCCGCAGTCACACGTGGTGCATTCGGTAGCGAGACGTTCGAGTCCGTACTATAACATATAACAGAACCCAAACGGTACCCAGGAAACTGGGGCTGGCTGACGAAGGGGTCACCAACATTAACACTGCTGACTGTGTGTGTGGTGTGTTGTGCGAGTTACTTCTACTGTGTACTACTACTCGATGTTGATGTTGGTTCCAACGAGGCTTCTTAGCATTGGATGTGGCGGGTTAAAATTACCAACAGCCAAAAGTGCTTAGAGCAGCGACTAAGGACCAATCCGTCCTAGCAGTAACCAGAGCTGAATCGCAAGCCAGGGGACCAGTCTGCAATCGAGACCCACCCCCAATTCCAATTCGCGTCCTTGCGCATCTCACTTCCGCCGCTCCTGTCTTCCCTTACCACCACACCACCCATACTAACCTACTTCTTCCTTCTTCGGTCTCTTGTTCCCTTTCCCCCTTCCCCTCCCCTTTTGACTTCGGCTACACTTTGGAGTCAGGACACCTGGCCTCTTTTGTTGCCATTGCCATTCTCCCTGTCACTTTCGCTGTCACTGTCGCTGTCGCTGCCGCTGCTGCATACCACTCTCACACTTTCCTTCTCCCTGCGCGTCCACACGCCTCATATCCGCCATGTCAGACGACAAGAAGAATGACGATTATGCCATGGAGACGCCCTCGGGCGGCAACGAATATCGCGCGGCATCCCCACCATCGCGCCCCGCCCCCATTCTCAAACCCACATCGATCACAGAGAACCCCGTAGCGGCCATTCTGGGTTACTGCGGATCCTCGATTCTGATGACCGTAACGAACAAATATGTCCTCTCTGGCGTCGACTTCAACCTAAACTTTTTCCTTCTCTGCGTCCAGGTACGGCTTGCACAGTGCCCCCACAGCATCACAACATCACAGCGTCAGCGTACGAACACACACTGACTCCAACAACAGTCGATAGTATGCGTGGCTGCCATCGCGATATGCAAGGCAGCCGGCCTCATCACCTACCGCGACTTCAACACCGACGAGGCCAAGAAATGTACATGGATCTGAAGAATCAAGAGTAGCTATACCAAGGCTAACGTCTGCAGGGTTCCCCATCTCTCTCCTCCTCATCGGCATGATCTACACCAGCACATGGGCACTAAAGTACCTCTCCATCCCCGTCTACACCATCTTCAAGAACTTGACCATCATCCTGATTGCCTATGGAGAGGTCCTCTGGTTCGGCGGTGCGGTCACACCCATGGCACTCTTCTCCTTCGGTCTCATGGTTCTGAGCTCCATCATCGCCGCTTGGGCCGACATCCAGCACGCTCTGTCCAGCATGGGACAGTCTGGTGGCGGCAACACCGACGCCATCACAACCCTGCATGCTGGATACCTGTGGATGATGTTCAACTGCCTGTGCACGGCCACCTACGTTCTCGGCATGAAGAAGCGCATCAAGCTCACCAACTTCAAGGACTTTGACAGTACGTATATCGAGTACCCATGGAAACACCATGTCCTTACTGACCGTCATTAGCCATGTATTACAACAACCTTCTCACCATCCCCGTCCTCTTTGTCGCTTCCATCCTCATGGAAGACTGGTCGCCTGCCAACATTGAGAAGAATTTCCCCACCGACAGACGCAACACCGTCATCTCTGTCATGATCATCTCGGGTCTTTCCACCGTCTTCATCTCTTACAGCTCTGCCTGGGCTGTCCGTGTCACTTCTTCCACGACATACTCAATGGTCGGCGCCCTGAACAAGCTTCCTATCGCCCTCAGTGGACTCATCTTCTTCGACGCACCTGTCACTTTCGGCAGTGTATCTGCCATCTTTGTTGGCTTCGTTAGTGGTCTCGTGTACGCTCTGGCCAAGGTCCGACAAAATGCCAAGCCAAAACATGTCCTACCAGTCAGCAACGTTCCCCTCAGCGCAAGCAGCCAAAGCATGCGTGATAGCTTAAAGGCCTAAGCGTACTTGCTTGTACCGAAATGTCCCGGCATGAAGGCAAATGACCATTTCATGTACCCGTTTCTTTCTTGCCCCCATTTGCCTCGAGCATAATTATCTACATCATTTAAAAACATCCTAGACTGGTTTGGCGTTTTCATGACTTAATTGACGTGTGCCCAGGGTTTGGAACTCGGGAGCATTTGCGGCATCTTTGCGCGTCGCACTGCAGGAGCATGTCATGTCCCAGGAGTGTTTGAATACGTTCAACTACTCTTTTTTTCAAGCACTTGATAGCTCATCACCACAGCGTTTAATGGTGCTTTCTTGAAATTTTTGAGATGTAATGCGAACGATCAACAGAGGGCGCCGTGTCTGCTGGCTTTTGGCCCATGTATCCGATACTTACAGTCATCAGCTCAGAGGTAGAACGCTTGGGTACAGCCATGGCAGGTGGCCACGCAAAGAACGCACAACCAAGTTTGCAAACTCCCACAGCGCTTGCGCGACAATCACGAGTTCTTTTTCCGATATCTGTTGCACAAGATGTATCCTCCCGTCGAGACAACGCACACGTGATGGCTGCCACATACAATACAAAATCCATCTCACGCCCCTTGGGTTTCTATCATCCGTTTCGTTTCCACTCTAGTTCAGTTCCATACACTAGATCCATCATGTTCAACCCTCGATTCCTGCCCCCTGATCCTTTCCACCGCCTCTTCCCGGCCTCATACCCAATGTTTCCACACAACTACACCTCTACAGCTACTATCCACGATTACTCCTCCTCTGCCCACCACCACCCTCGCCTTCATCGCACACAACACTCCCACCCTCCCAGACCCTACTTCCCTATCCCCAGCCATTCAGACATCGACGTCGCCATCGCACACACACCACATCCTTACCACCGCATCACCCACCCAAACACAGATACAGATACGGATACGGATACAGACACTTCCACCACCACCGAATTCAACACACCCCGCCACCACCATGACCACATCCCACACTCCCCCTATCCCCCTCCTCCTCGCCACTACCACGACAACACACCCCCTACCCAAACCCACACCCCACACTCCTCCTTCCGCACCACCACCGTCGCCCTACCTCGCCGCGTAGCACAATATCTAGACCACGCACGCACGCCCTGCGACGCCCTTGTCGTTTCTGAAATGTTGACCCGAGTTGCAGTGCATATGCGGGTTTTGGGCCTGGATGGGGGTGGGGGTGGGCATGGCGACGAAGATGTCCAGCGTAATCGGTATAATACGCTTCAACATTGTAATCGGAATCATGTTCGGAATCGAAATCGAAACCGCAGTCGCAATGGTAATCGTGATGGTAATCACCGCAGTCTCCACCACAGTCTCCACCGCAACCGCAACCATACCCGTACCAACAACAATACCAACACCAACACCACCGCCCAAACCCTCCACATCCTCGTAGCAGGAAACTTGCATCTCCACGACATAGCAGCACAAATGCTTTCCCGGCACCCATCTGGCGGCACGGAGGATATGCAGATGCAGATGCGGATGCGGGTGTGGGTGCGTGGGGCGGGGGGCGTGTGGAGTGAGGTTGGGGGTGGGGTGAGGGTTGGGGATGTTTGTGGGGGGAGGGAAGTTGAGATTCAGATTGAGATTGTGGTGGGATTTGGTGGGGGTGGTGGGGGGAGTGGGAGGGGGAGAGGAGGAGGAAGGGAAGGGGAAGGGGGGAGAGGGGGTGTTGTGGCGAGGGAGTGCGAGGAGAGTGCGAGGGCGTGGGAGTATAGAGGATAGAGGGTGAATTTGAAGTGGAACTAAGACGGAAGTTGTCCAGATCAGAATACCTACAGTCTATCCAACCGTCTAAAAACAATCTCGGAATTTCAACGTCATCACATCAATCAGAACAGTGCATTGTGCAAAGGCCAAAGAAACTTGCGTCTCGGAACTGCATCGAGTCTTGTTACTACACAACCAGAAGAAGGGGGCACAGAAAAACCAAAAAAAGCCGTGTATCCCAAAAAAATAATGAAAAAGAAATCCCCGGTCCTCCCGCGCCTTGACTCGTTAAAAAAGAGAACAACCGTATCCTAGCAACCCACTGGCCCGAACCAAGGCTAGTCCTAGCTGATCAGAATCGGTAAAACAAAAGAAGCCTTTCATCCTGTCCAGCCATAATGATGCTTCCTTGGCCTTCTGTAGCTAGATTATAACCCCGTGCGAGCGCCTGCGTGCAGCCGCACGCTTATGCCTCTACAGGTTTGGCACCCTTCTTCTTCTGTTCGACCTTGAGCAGCAACGCGCGGTTGATGTGTGGCAGTACACCTCCAAAGGCAATCGTCGCCTTGATCAACGTGTCTAGTTCCTCGTCACCGCGAATAGCCAACTGGAGATGGCGCGGAGTGATACGTTTGACCTTGAGATCCTTTGCCGCGTTGCCTGCAAGCTCGAGCACCTCGGCCGTCAGGTACTCGAGAACGGCGGTCAGGTAAATGCTGGCTTTGGCGCCGATGCGCGTCTTTTGGCGCGTAATGGTACGAAGATGACGCTTTATGCGACCGCAGGGGAACTAGAGAGAAGACGCCAAGTCAGCGCGTCGTTGCTTTGTATTGACTGCGAAGACAGATGCGCGGGGTGGTGGTTGGGCGATGACGCGTTCTGTTGGGCAGCCACTCACTTGGAGACCAGCTTTGGCGGAGTGCGACTTGGTTGTCTTGACGTGCGAGTCACCCTTTCCTCCCGTCTTGCCTCCCGTTTTTCCTGTCGGCCCAGTCAGCTTTTCCAGGCTCCAAAGGCGCGCCTCGAGCTGAGCGCGTACCTTTTCCACCGCCAGCCATTTCGGGTCAGTTTTATGGGTTGCAGTCGGTGTCGATGAAATCAATAGTGTTGCGCGACCGAGATGCCCAAATGTGGAGGCGCGTTCGATGTGGTGTGGTTGGCGGGAGGTGGGGTGTTGGTGGTAAAGTCTTGCTGGGAAGATTCCAATGTTGTTGCAAGGTCAAGCCTTCCTCACGCGTTTAGACCGATTGGGATCGCTCGACTTGGCAGTGCATGCCCATCCATTGCCAGTCATCCGACCGCACACCGTGCACGAACTGCTCTGTGCGTCTGTGGGATGGAATCGGAGCTTTTTTGGACATCTTGCGGGGACTTGCTCGGTGTTTTCGCAGTCTGTACCTGCAGCTGGGGTTGCGCGGCTGTTGATAGACCTGTACTGTCTGTACTGTACTGTACTGTCCTGGGTCGTCTCTTGAGTACCCTTGGAGGGGAAGCAGGGAAGAGAGGATATGAAACAAACAAGGGAGGAATGCAGAAAGATGGGCAAGAGGGAAAGGTGTCAGATAGACACAGGCACTTGTATAGGTAGTACCGCTGTTGCAATGGTGATGAACCATAGCTACAGCTTCTTTGCCCAGCTGTGGTTTAGCCGTCTCAACGTAGAAGTTTCAGGCGAGCGCTCGCTTTACCATGTAGGGCCGAGGATAGCTTTGCAACACCATCAAAGGCTTAGGTACTTGTAGTCACCACGACATGGTAGGCGTGATTAGGTCCTAGTCTGTGGTCAGAGATGTGCCCTGGGTAGTTTTGAGAGGAAAGGGCCGATATGGCACGACAGACGTTGTGCAGCGTAGGGTAGGTAACATAGCATACCAGCCGGTAGCTAGTTGGAATGCAAAGACAGGAAATAGAGATAACAGTCACTTACAAGGAGAAATCATGAGCCCTGCATCAGCTATTATTGTAAGACTCGACGGATGTCCACTTGAGCTTGTGCGCGTATTGTTGCCTGCTGGGCCAGTGACGGTCTATCCACCATGGGATACCATTAGCTGCGAAGAACAGGTGAAAGAGAACAAGGCGAAGAAGAGCGTCGGTATGCATGGATGGAGCCCTTGATATACTGCCACCCAGCAGAACAAGGCATCTGGCCACAGTCCATTGATGAGGTGATGGCAGTGGGATGAGTTGCGTATAGACACAGTATAGAGAGAGACGAGTCGGGTTGCTCCAACCGTCCCAACGTCCAAAACTCTTGGCCCCCGTCTTGTTTGGAGGAGAGCCGTCGACCTTTCGCACGGGCCGCTTGCTCGATGCAGGGACGACGCAGGCCGGCTTGGCAGCCAACTCGTGGAGCGAACTGACAGCTCCTTATTGCGACGACACAAGGACTGGCCAAAAAAGAATCCAAAGACATGGCCGTCGCCTGAACCCCCACGTCGCCCATGTAACCCTCCCCCCCCCCCCTCCGATCCTGCGCATAACCTGCCATCACCATCAGCATCACCATCTCCAAACCATCCTCCCCACAGCCCGCACCGCCGCCCCCCCGCCGCTCCCTTGCCCACTACCCTACCCTCCTCCCCCATCAATCACTGTGCCCTCCCATGGAGGCTTGGAACAGCTCCCTGGCCAGCACACCTCCACCTCCACCTCCACCTGCACCTGCACCTGCACCTGCACTGTACCCGCACCCGCTCTCGCACCCGTACCCGTACCCGCACACACCCACGGTGAACGCCGCATGTTAACCGCCGCCCACACGACTCGCCGCGAGAAAACCATCAACGCAGGTCCGCCATGGCCTGGCAGTCGCCTTCGGCCATGAATGCCGGCGGAGCGAATGGCGGAGGGGATGGCAATGCGCCAGCAGGGACCGAGTACACATTGCAGGGTACGCTACACCTTTACCTGCATCCTTCTACATAACGGACATGGGACGAGAGCTAACGGCCAGACACACAGGCGTCATGCGCTTCTTGCAGCTCGAATGGCACAATCACGAACGGGCCAGAAACGCCTGGGACATTGAACGCGCCGAGATGAAGGCCAAAATCGCCAAACAGGAGGGCGAGGTCAGGAGTGCAAAGAAGCTGAACGATCAACTCAACAAACACATCCGTATGCTGGAGCAGGCCTTGACCAACGAGCGCAAGAAGAAGGCCGAAGCAGTCGGCGGTGACACTTCGGCCGCGACCAACGAAAAGGACGGCAAGGGCAAGAAAGCTGGCACAAGGCGTACGTTCGTCCCCTATACTACCCGTCTTGATCTTGGTTTCATTCTTCCAAGTATACTGACAAGTACATTCTTTAGCCCAGAACAAGAAACACAACTCCTTCCTCGACGTAGACTCCGAGTATCTCGACCGAGCAGAAGCTGACCGTGAACGCGAAATGCTGCGAGAAAAGTCGAAACAATATCTAACCAAATGTGTCGAGGAAATCACCTATCTCTTGACACCTCCACCGCAGCCTCCGTCACAACAACAGGGCCTCCACACTCTTGCAAATGGCACCAACTACATGAACCACGGTGATGCGTCCATGGACGAGCTTTACATTCAGCAACACCGCCAGAAGTTGCAGTCACAACTACCCACCATGCCAGGCACATCCATGCCAGGCACATCCATGCCAAACCACCAACCTCCCGCTATGCCTACGGCTGTCGATCTCCATAACCTTGCCAGTCAGCATCAGATACATCATGCCCCTCAAATGACACGGGAGCCGTCTGGCCAACAGCCCCTTCCCCACAACACCAGCCTCTCTCAAGACCTTCTACGACAGCAAACCCCACTACCCAATCAACAGCATTATTCTGCAGTGCCCGAAGAGCAGGTCGAGAAAGTCACGCATGCATTTGATGAACAGGGTCGTCAACTGCCAACACCCGAGGAAGACAACCAGCCTACTACGAACCACGTCGCACCTGAAGATACTAACGAATGGACATTTGAAGAGCCCATTTCCGAGCTGACGCAGGATGGGCCACCGAGACGACCAGACACGGAAGAATTTCCGTCCGCGAATAGCATACCAGCCAAGTCCCCACCACGTCCCAGCAAGGGCCGCAACAAGGATACTACAAGAAGACTGAGCAGTGATCTGAAAGCTCAACAGGTAGCCGCTCAATCCGCACCCAAGACAGATCCCCAGAGCTTCAAAGTCCGTTTTGCACTCCGAGGACACCTAGATGTTGTCCGTTCTGTCGTCTTCACAGGAGGTGGAAGTCCTAGCGAGCCAGAAATATGTACAGCAGGAGACGATGGAATGATCAAGAGATGGATGATACCCGCGAGCTACGCAAGCCAGCACAGCATGAACAATGATCTAGACATTGCGCCATTTTGGTCACACAGAGGGCACGAAGGTGCCGTCACATCTTTGGCTGCATGTCCCTCGTCTGCTCACTTTGCGACCGGTGGCCGCGTATCAGGCGATGGCTGGATATTTTCTGGAGGACAGGACGCCACGATTCGTGTTTGGGAACGTGGTCGTGTCGATCCCAAAGCCACTCTCGATGGCCACACTGACGCCGTCTGGACTGTATGCGTACTTCCTGCGACCTGTGCTACTGTATTTGGCGCCGACAGCAATAACTACGGAGGCCCAGATCGAATATTGCTCGCCTCGGGCTCTGCGGATGGAACGATTAAAATATGGGCAGTCAGCGCTCCCCCTCAGTTAGCGTCACCTCAAGCTGGCACTCGACGCGGTGGCAGTCGTAGGCATTCTGTGACCTCTGGTTCGAACCATCCCTCTTCTCCGCAGCCCAGTATCGCAACGTCGACGCCTTTCCACTACATGCTCATTCATACCATTGAGCGCGCCACACACCCTTCGCCTACATGCATTAGCCCGCTTTCGCCGAATGGGGAGAACCTTGTTGTTTCATTCAACGACGCATCCATACTGGTTTACGATGTCCGAACGGGCGAAGAGTTGATTGGCATGGCCAGCAATGAGTCTTATGACGGCACACCGGCTACTGGCATCACTTCGGTTGTGACAAGCACGCAGCTGCTAGAGGGCTCGTCACAAGAGGGTGGGCGTAGCGGATCTGAAGAGGAGGCGATTCATGGACCTACGGGATCCAACAGTAGCGGAGGACTTGAAGGTGTCATTATAAGTGGACATGAAGACCATCTCATACGGTTCTTCGATGCCAATTCAGGTTTGTGCAGCTCTATTGCCGTATTGAAAAACATGACTAATGAGCGCTCCCAGGTCAATGCACATACAGTATGCTTGCCCATCCTGCTGCCATCTCCTCCCTCTCCCTCAGCAAAGATGGTCGCGAAGCTGTTTCTGCTGGCCACGACGCTTCCATTCGCTTCTGGTCACTGGACAAGCGCATTTGCACACAAGAAATCACAGCGCATCGTATCATGCGCGGCGAGGGTGTGTGCAGCGTTGTCTGGAGTCAGGACGGCCGTCTGGTAGTCTCAGCAGGCGGCGATGGCATCGTAAAAGTCTTCGCAAGATAGCGTCTTTGCGAAGGCCATAGTTACGACTTCCCTTAGTCGTCCTGACAACCCAACCAAGCGAAAGCCCTTTCTACGTACGATGCATTTTTATAGCGGGACATACCCTTACGGCGATGTTTTGAGAGGTGGAAACGGTGGGAGGTGGGAGGCAGGGGATCTGTTGTGGGTATTTATTTGGACTTTGGAATGATTGATGGGACACATGGCTGGGGCTTTATATAGTATATGTTTTGGGAAGAGGGAGGGAGAAGCAGAGAAGGACGAACAACAAGCTTTGGTAATTACTTTTGGGAAGAAACACCACTCTTTTCCCCCTTGGACGCCATATGTATCATGTTACCACGGCTTTTTCTTTTTATACCTGCATCGGCCTCTCTTTGTACACCAATCTTCCAGATTTTTATCTCCTTCTCTGTGCATCATGATGGGGTCTAGATCCGTCTTCTCTCTCTCCCCAGTTGCCCTATTGTATTGTAATATCTTCGGTAACTTGGGTAGGTATATATGCATGCGCGTGGAGAATGCTCCAGTGTACAATGCCAACGCAATGTTAGGAATCTTGTGTGGTGTGCTTCATATGTCTCTTAGCCCTAGCATGTAAATTGACGTCGGGCGGTACCTGAAGAAGCGGGCCCAGCTAAGAGACGGGACCGCGGCTGGATTCTGGCCGGACTAGGGAACCGTGCGCCCAAACTCCGTCATGATCAACCAACGCGCTAGGTAACTTTATCTCCAAGCTTTCCCGACACGAGCGCCAAAACTTCGGCGACGTTATTCCCATGTCCTTCTCAACACCATGACCTGAAATCGCGGCCTCGACAATCGGCGCATAGAGGAAGAAAGAGAAACCCCGAAACAAGACATGGCCGACAATGGCAGCCCAGAGCGGCGCCGGACTCGACGGACGAGCGCCATGTACCGCCGTGGCTCACACTTGAGCGAGTACGTGACACGACGGCAAGGCTCGGTGGTGGCAGCGCAGTAGATCGGAGGCAGGATAAGACAATGGCAACTGACGTGTGGCGCAGGGCAAGCTTCATGGAAGACGTCGAGATGGCCCAAGATGAGGTATTCGAACTCGGTCCCATGATGCCCTTGTCCCACACCACATACGCGCGCCAGCACCACCATCACCGCACCCGCCGAAGAAAGAGGCCTGGTCAGCAGCTGACAAAAACAACACAGGTCTTCTCCGGCCCTATGAGTGAGAGCGTACCCACGAGTGTCTCCGCCTTTTCCCACCGCCGGAGGAACAGAGCCGACTCAACAGCCAGCTTGACGAGCTTTGCCTACTACGACGAGGAGCAAGACTCTGAGCAGGGCACCGAAGACGAAGACAGTGCCATCCTGGAAGATGGGGACAGTGACTATAATGCCTACACGGCCGAAGAGCTCGAGGATATGGAGGCCGGTCTGTCGTCGCAGTCGTCATCCTCGCCGTCGCGGCGCAAGTCGAGTGGCAGTAGGAAATCAGTAGACAGGCCGCTTTTGCGGAGACACTCGTCCGCAGGAAGCACAGGGTCTGGTGTAGACTGGAGAGGAAGAAGGTCGAACCAGAAGATCTACATCATGACCGAGGACCTGACCATTGTCGTCGCCGGCTTCAAGACGTCGCCCATTGGGTTCGCCGTATACACTACCATCTGCATTGCTACTTTGGGACTTGGCTGGCTTTTCCTTAGATGGTTACCTAGATGGAGGGTAGCTATTATAGGAAAGTCCACACCTCTGAAAGAGTGCGACTGGGTCGTCATTGAGAACCAGTGGGGAGAGTTTGCCTTGCAACATGTCAGCCGACAGACTTATGGCCGATCGCTGTCCACGGTTTTTGGAGAATCTGAAAAGGGCCGTCTTGGACACTGGGATGAAGAGGAAGACCCCCTCATCAAAGAATTGTGCTGTCTCGACTACCGCTATATTCGCTTCGTATACCACCCGCTCAAGGACAAATTTGTCCTGGCCAATACCTGGAAAGATCCCACCTGGACAGAAGTCTCCGCCCTTCGTGAAGGTCTCGACAACGATGAACGCGACTATCGTGAGCTAGTGTTTGGGAAGAACATGATCGATATTGCCGAGAAGACTGTTGGTCAGCTATTGGTCGATGAGGTCTTCCATCCCTTCTACATCTTCCAGATTGCTAGTTTGGTGCTCTGGTCGATTGACGAATACTACTACTATGCCTGCGCCATCTTCATCATCTCAGCCGTCAGTATCGTCACCACACTGATGGAAACAAAAGCTTCGATGAGGAGATTACGGGAGGTTTCCAGGTTCGAATGCGAAGTCCGTGTGTTGCGGAGTGGATTCTGGACCCATGTGGATTCCACTGTGCTAGTCCCTGGAGATGTCTACGAAGTCACTGACCCTGCGCTCGCCGTCCTGCCCTGTGACAGTCTTCTCCTTTCTGGCGACTGCATTGTCAACGAGAGCATGTTGACTGGCGAGTCTATTCCAGTCTCAAAGGTTCCAGTTTCCAATCAGTCGCTCGACCTGCTCGATCTCAGCGCTTCTGCAGTACATCCCGAGGTAGCACGGCACATGCTCTTTAGCGGAACGAAGATCATCCGCGCTCGCAGGCCACATGAAGACCATGAAGATGATGAAGCCGCTGCACTCGCCATGGTTGTTCGCACCGGCTTCAATACCACCAAGGGCGCACTTGTACGCTCTATGCTCTTTCCAAAGCCATCGGGGTTCAAATTTTACCGCGATTCTTTCCGCTACATTTCCGTCATGGCTTTCATTGCAATGATCGGGTTTGTTGCATCCTTTATCAACTTTGTCCATCTCGGCCTTGCGTGGCACTTGATCGTGGTGCGCGCTCTCGACTTGATTACTATCGTTGTGCCTCCTGCATTGCCAGCAACCCTGACCATTGGAACGAGCTTCGCCCTATCTCGCCTTAAGAAAAAGCAGATTTTCTGCATCAGTCCTCAACGAGTCAATGTTGGTGGCAAGCTAGATGTTGTCTGCTTTGACAAGACGGGCACCCTGACAGAAGAGGGCTTGGATGTGCTGGGCGTCCGTGTAGTCGAACGACCAAGGAACCGGTTCAGTGAACTCCTTGCCGACCCTTACGACATTTTACCTTCTTCGCTCCATGATCGTGACCCCACTGTGGAATACTTGGCCCACAAGACTATACTATACACCATGGCAACTTGTCACTCTTTGCGCAAGATTGACGACGAACTTCTCGGAGACCCACTCGATGTCAAGATGTTCGATTTCACTGGCTGGAACTATGAGGAAGGAGAACAAAAGTCTGGAAATTCACATGAAGAGGACCCTGAACAGAAGCTTACCCCGTCGGTTGCGCGCCCACCCGCCGGCCGCGAATATGATGTGGATGACAGTGAGGACGACCCCGATAGAAAGCCTATTGAACTTGGCGTGCTCAAATCCTTCGAGTTTGTATCGCAGCTTAGGCGTGCAAGTGTCATTGTCCGGCAGTTTGGCTCAAAGAGTGGCCAAATCTATGTCAAGGGAGCACCAGAAGTGATGAAGGAGATCTGTCGACCAGAGACCTTTCCATCCGACTACGAAGAACTCCTTGCTTTCTATACACACCGCGGTTTCCGTGTCATCGCATGTGCTAGCAAGTCGATTGCCAAGCTCAACTGGCTCAAGGTTCAGAAGATGAAGAGAGAGGAGGCTGAGAGCGAACTTGACTTTGTTGGCTTCATCATTTTCGAGAACAAGCTCAAGGACAGTACTGCTCCTGTGATTGAAGAGCTTGAGCGTGCCAACATTCGAAAGACCATGTGCACTGGCGACAATATCCTAACTGCAATCAGTGTTGCTCGCGAGTGTGGGCTCATCAACAAGACGGCCCATTGCTTTGTGCCGCATTTTGTGGAAGGTGATTCGCGGACTGCATTGTCAAGATTGGCGTGGCAGTCTGTCGACGACCCCATGTTCAAGCTCGATGAGAACACGCTCAAGCCGCTGCCACCGCCACCAGAGGCAGACGTCTCTCTGCCTTACGACATCTCCAACCTTCGCAACTACAGTCTGGCTGTCAGCGGCGATGTCTTCCGCTGGATCATCGATTTCGCTTCCGAGAATGTCCTCCGTGAGATGCTCGTCTGCGGTCAAGTCTTTGCTCGCATGTCCCCCGATGAGAAGCACGAGCTCGTAGAGAAACTCCAGTCCATCGACTACTGCGTCGGCTTCTGTGGCGACGGTGCCAACGACTGCGGTGCCCTCAAAGCCGCCGACGTAGGCATCTCGCTCTCTGAGGCAGAAGCCTCTGTCGCTGCACCTTTTACGTCTCGCCAATTTGACATCAGCTGCGTTCCTCAAGTCATCAAGGAAGGTCGCGCCGCGCTCGTCACCAGCTTCAGTTGCTTCAAATACATGAGCTTGTACAGCGCGATCCAATTCTGCACCGTGTCCTTTTTGTATGCCAGCGCCTCCAACCTGGGCGACTTCCAATTCCTCTTCATCGACTTGCTGCTCATCCTCCCCATTGCCATCTTCATGGGCTGGTCCGGTGCATACCCGATCCTCTCGCGCAAGCGCCCCACGGCCAACCTGGTCAGCAGAAAGGTGCTCACTCCACTGCTAGGACAAATGGTCCTCTGCATCCTCGTGCAATTCATCGCCTTCCACTACGTCCAGTTGCAGAAATGGTACCAACCCCCAATCATCGACCCCAACCACAGCAATTCCCTCAACAGCCAAAACACAGCCCTATTCTTGCTATCCTGCTTCCAATACATTCTCTCCGCCGTCGTCCTCAGCATCGGAAAACCGTACCGCGAACCCATGTCGCGCAACCTGCCCTTTATCACCACCATCTTCGTCACCCTCGCCATCACCGCCTACATGCTCTTCGACCCCGCCGACTGGGTCATGAAGTGGATGGAGCTGACGTACATGGACAATGGATTCAAGATCTTCCTCCTCGTACTCGGGCTTGCCAATTTCGCGGCCGCCTACCTGAGCGAGCATTATTTCTTTCCGGGGCTGGCCAAGTGGATTGGCGTGCTGAAGGTTCGGGTGGGTGGGGAGCACTGGCGCAAGCAGAGGAAGGCATATAAGGTTATTGCGGAGAGGGCGAGGATGTAGGGGTGGTTTTCGAAGAAGAGGGGAGGGCAGGAGGCGTATGGAGCGGGTAGTTTTCTTTGTAGATGGTATTGATTTGCTTCCTGGGGATTGAGACGGAGATGTATATACACATGTAAATACAAGGGAGGAATGGATGGAGAAAATATGCTAGCAACGAGTGCCATTACTTTTATGATTTCTCCTCTTACACTTTCCTCGCCGCTTCAAACAAACCATCCCTCCCCACCTCATCACGCGCACGCCAAAACACAGCCTCCCCTTGCGAGACCCCAGCCCACGCTCCTGCATCTATCCTCCATACTCTAAGCATAAGAAATATACAAATCTCTTCCTGGTCTCGCGGCGTTTAGGCACGTAATATGGGAAGCCGTGTGCGTGTGCGTGTGTGCGTCTTTACGTGTATACGCGTGGTTGTGGTTGTGATTGTGAGGATCGGTAAGGACTGCAGTTTTGTTGTAGGAGGTGGGGGTGAGAAGGTGGAAGTGGGGGGTTAAAGGGGTGCGGGTTTTAGTGTAGTGAGTGAAGGGGTGTAGAGTTTGTTGGAGGGGGTAAGAGGGGTGTAGGTCGATGAATCTGGGATAAAGGAAGATGGTAGGGCAAGAGGATTCCAGCTAGTTGTACTACTACAAGACACTATAGCAGATTTCTCTCTCTCTCTCGTTGATGCAGCATGAATTTACAAGTGTTTACATATTTAAGTCATTTAAATCTCCTACCTTGCCAGACCGCCGGCTGTTCAAACAACGCGCCACACCACTCCACCATCACCGCCACCAAACCCCACCTAAAAAGAATCCTCAGACTCGGGATTACAAACACCCAGTGCAATGCAGCACTCTCCATCTCCGCGTCAGACATGCTGACTTTATCCTTCAAGAGCAGGATGATAGAAACCACAGTGTCTAGGCGCTTGTCAGGGGGTAAATTACGCACATGACATTTGTCTACAAACCTCAGTGTTAATGTTAACGTGAACGTGAAAGTTAATGTTAACTTCACCATACCGCCCCAAAAGACCTTCTCACGCTGCCCACTCACCCCAACTTCTCACTCTCACACTCACTCATCTGCTCTCGAGCTCCGTGACAAACTACGAGATCTGCTTTTCTCTTTTCTCTCTCTCTCTCTCTCTCTCTCTCTCTCTCTCTCTCTCTTGCTACCTCGCTATCTCTTTCTCTTTCTCTAGCTATTCAACCGATCAAAAAAGCTGCAGCTCGCTCAATCACACTCAACTCTCCACCCACTTCACAACACTCCGGTCCAACACTCCCATCACAAACAGGCCTGCGATAATGGGGCCTAAGAAAGCTGGAACGCTGGGTGTGAATGGTAATGGGATCGCAAACGGCAATGGGGGTATTGGTGTTGATGGGTCTGTGGATGGTAATGCGGTATGTCTCCCTTTTGTTGTCTGTGCCTGTCTTTTTCTGAAGCGTTGACTGAGATGTTCGTCTCTGTCTCCATCCATGAACAACTCGAAACTCCAAACAAGTGCTAACGGCACCAAACCAACAGTCCCAAAAATTCACGTGGGAGGGCCTCAACGACCTCAAACTGCTCCTGCTCACCCAAGGCCGCTGGGTCAAACCGGAAGAGTACGAACAGCTCTCCCGGGCTTTCGGTGGTGAGTTTGATGTCTTGTCTTGACTCCTCTCCTTCCCCTCTGGCAGTCCAGCCCAGCAGAGCATAGCATAACACACCACTAACAACCCCAGACGACCTATCCACCGGCAGCATCCGCAACCGCGTATCCAAGCTACGCGTCCAGCAACGCACACTCTACGAAGAGCTAGGCTGGGAGCTACCCGAAGGCGGAGCAACCAAGCGAACTGCAAATGCCAGTGGAAGTAGCGGCACGCCGACTGCGACGCCCAAGAAGCGGGTTGCTGGTGTTGGTGCTGGTGCTGGTCCGGCAGACGGCCTAGAGGCAGAGCAGGGTACGCCGACGAAGAAAGCGAGGGGTCAGGTGAAAGTTGCTGGGAAGCCGAAGGCTGGGGGTAAGAAGAGTGTTCAGCAGGATTTGGGGCGTGGGGATGAGGGTGCTGAGGGCGGGGGTTTCAAGGTCAAGGAGGAAGTTCTTGATGATGAGAATGAGGATGGGCAAGAAGTCTAGATGTGTGATTCCTCAGGTGCGCAAACCTTGTATTGGGATTCGGATATGGGATTTGAGGAGACGGCAGGACAGCCATTTTCAACTGTCTTGCTTTCGTCGAAGGGCTAGTTGGATGACTACGGTTATGCATGGTTATGCGAATGATGCTTCATGCAGACATCGTCTCTGCCTCATAGGTTAGCTGGAATACACATTGGAAGAGATGATCATTTCACAAGGTTGCATGCAATCAATATTCGCTGCCAAAGGGAATGACCCGGTTCGGTTGTGCTGTGCTAGTGATCATGATTTCCCATTCATGGCAATAGTTAGTAGGTATCTGTTGTCAACGCCATAACGCCGTGTTCTCCCATGCATCTCTTTCCTCAGCGCCAGCCTATGCTCGGAAAAGAGTTTCAATCCTCTTCTGCCCATTGCCCTGGATCTATTTATCGCCCTTCTTCTTGCGCAGTGTCTGACCAGCGCCCTCAAAATGTTTCGACTCCTTTTGCTCGCTGTCCTCTTCTTTGCCCTTGACAGGCTTGATCTCGTATCCAAAGAACAGCTTACCCTCTGGCAATCTGAGCGGCTGCGGACCATTGGTGCGCCGAATTGTTGGTGGAGGATTTGTAGAATGTCCTGCAACAGGTGTCGAGGCTTGTGGAGTAGGTGTCTTGCTGCCCTTTTTGCTGAGCTTGTGTCCTGTGGTGAGGAAGTGTGATGATGCAGCCTTGGCCCCAGCAGCGGCCGTGGTTGATGAGGGTGCTATCGCAGCATAGTTGATAGCCTCAGCCATGGTTCCATGTGAGTGTAGTGTGCCGCCTTTTCCTGCCATGACGCCCTTGCCACTCCGCGGTGTACTTGTCCCGCTGGTCTTCTGTGGTTCTTGATATCCTACTGGCGGTGCGAAATCGACCGACAAGTCTGTTTCAAGTGTGCAGATGGCTTTGCTGGGATGGTCGGGCCGTGTCTCTAGGACTGCTATACTGTAGACATTGTCATTATATGAGAATGTGAAGATGTCGCCGGTGGTGAGGCAGGAGAAGTTGCGGAAGGCATTCTCGAGAACCGCCTTGGGGTCTGAGATGTCGAGGAAAGAGGGATCTTGTGGCTGTAGCTTGATGAAGGTGCCTAGTGGCAGGTCCGTTGACTTGACCTGCAGGAGATCTCCAGGCTCGAGAAGAAGAGTCTGCATGAGCTATGGATACATGGATGAGCACGGGACTTGAACAAGCAGCGAATGTAACATACCCAGTACGGCAGGTAGATCTTGCCCTCCTCAGCGATAAACTCCAGCACACCTGCATGTGTCTTCCTGCCATCTTGCTTGCCATTTATGAGCTCGAACAGCATCGGGTATGTGATGTGCATCCGTGTGAGTTTGTCGAGAGCGCTGGGAGGAAGGAACACTTTGCCGCCATGGTTTGCCTCTTCACGCTCTGGGCCGGGTAGCATGGCGATGGGATAGCAGCGGAAGTATTCATCGAAGCGTCTGGGTGCGCCCCCACGCCTGAGTTGCTGGTACATGGCCATGGGGTCGTCTTGTTCGTAGAAGTTGGGGTTGAACTGGGTGGTTGTGGTGAGTGGTGAGTGGTGAGTGGTGAGTGGTGAGTGGTGAGTGGTGAGTGGGCATGGATGTGGAAAGTGGTGGGGGTCGCTCTTACCATGTTTAATGATTGCAGCGTCCCTTGTTGCCCAGGAAGACGTGGACGAGGCAAAGAGACAAAGGGGAGTCACAAGGGGGTGGGAGAATGGTGAGCAGGTGAAGGGTGGTTATGGAATGATTGATTCTTAGGTATTACCTTGCGCGGATGACGACGTTTGCTTAGAGTAGTAGAAGATGATGCTAGGTTACTACTCAGGTGTAACAGTAGCGAGAATAGGTTGCGGCGACCCCGTTGGACCAGTCGCGTATCGACTTGGCTGCTGTGGAGCGCGGTATTGGTAAGTTACCGCAGCGGGCCCAAGCTCCCCGTTTAATAAATTCTAGGTAAGCAGACGTCACCGGCGCCCACAGCTCACCCATCCGCACAACACTCATTCACAGTCGCGCCACTTTAACGCGACGAACCTGACCAGCAATGGCAAGCTCTAGTGGCACATACAATCCTGCGCGGCCAAAGCGCGCTGGCGAGCAGTTCACGCGAACCCACCATCTGGGCGGGGAGACTCCGTCCACCAAGAAACCACGATTTGACCCACGCAACCCCTCGACGCTCGCTCCCGATGCCGAGGACGAAGAGGACCCTGCACTCGAAGCCGACGTGATTGGAAAGGGTGCTGGCATCAAACGAAACGCCGTCAACATTGATGGCTACGATTCGGATAGTTCCACGGAGAACTTCGATGCACGCGCAGAGGCACGAGTCAAGAAAGACAAGGCTGATCAAGCAAAGGGCAAGGATGACAATGAAGACGACGACGACGACGACATGTTTGCGGCGGATGACAAAGACGATGAGCAGGACGAAGAGTCTCGGAGAGACCAGACGAAGAAGAAACAGCTACGATTCCTCGACGCTGATGAAATTGAGGGGCAAGAGGCGGATAGCAAAGCAGGAGGCCACGTGGCAGTAGACTTTACAAAGGGCCCAAAGGATGCCACCGACGATGTGGAAAGCAGCAGCGACAGTGGAGACGACCAAGAGCGCGATCGAGTAGACTCAGACATGGATGAGGAGCTTGGAGCTGGCAGCAAGAAACGCCACGCACCGAAACTAGACGCTTTCAACATGAGTGCCGAGCAAGAAGAAGGCCGATTTGACGAGGCCGGCAACTTTGTGCGCAAGGCGTATGACCCAGATGCTGCCCAGGATTCATGGCTCGAAGGCATATCGAAGAAAGACATGAGGAAGGCAAAGGAAGCCCAAGACATGAGGGAAGAGGAACGCAGAGCACGTGAACGAGCAGAAGACGCCATCGTCACCAGCGACGTCATGTCACAGCTCATCACATACCTTGATGTTGGTGAGACAGCCTTGGAAGCGCTTGTACGTTATGGCAAAGCGGCACCAAAGAAGCCAGTCCAAAGCTGGGGCAAGAAGAAGGCTCAGGAAATGAGAGTTGATACGGACCCAGCCAAGGAGGCAGCCGCGGCCAAGGCCAAAGCAGCCATCGAAACCATCACCGAATGCGCCAGCCGGCTGTCCAATCGCGGAAATGAGGATATCTACGAATTGACGCGCGAAGCCATCATGCGCCAATACAAGCGGGAGACGGGCGAGGATTGGAAGAACCCGAACCCAGAACCAGTCATGTGGGAGTTTCGTTGGCTCGCGGCGGCAGAGGACGACATCAATGGCCCTTATGATCAAGCCACGATGCAGACGTGGGAGGCAGCCGGGCAGTTCGCAGCAGGTGCTGAATTCCGTCGCGTTGGGGAGACTGAGTGGTCACCAGTACTCCAATTTGAAGACTGAGTAAGAGTAGGTACCTATATCGCAGATGATGCATCCACGACGACCCATGCATGCACACGACCCATGCACGATGAGCAAATCACGACTACTTCATGACTGCTCACGGCCGCATGCATAGAGTAGACTGCATTGTTGTACCACCTATGGGGTGTACTACTACTGTACGAGACGCACAGGCAGCTTACGCTCACCCATCTAGTACTCTACCTACCTACAGTAGAGTAGACCACCTATACAAGACAGGTCATGGACGATAGGCCGAGTCACATGACGGCCCATGCAATGCGGCTAAGCGATGCTACAACGACTGACGGCGACGGTCAGCCAACCGGAAAGGGCAGACGAGCGGGAAGCCATGGCGATTCCTGGCAGCGGCTGTGATGACAGGCCGGGCAAGGCTAAATGCCGAATGAAATGTGGCCTTGAATTGCGAGTAGGTTGTGCAACCATGTCGTGGTTCCTCCGTGTCTTCTTCTGGCCGCTCGTGCAGCTGTTGAGAGACGTGTGGATTCGATCGGACGTGCAGCCACCCGCGTGGGATAGATGCGATCAAACAGTTTTTTTTTTTGATAGAATGAGAAGGAGGCTGGTTCCAATCCATGTACAATAGCAGTTGCGTTTGCCTTGCCTTGCCTTGCCTTGCAGCAGCACAGAAGAGTGTGGTTAGTCTGGCAGGAAGAGGAGGATGATGAGGTGGTGGTGGTGGTGGCGATGTTGGTTGGGCAGCTGATGGCGCCTGCTGGCCAGTCTGAGCGCCGGGACATGTCTCGTGCTGACCCCTTCTCCCCCCTCCCCCCCCCCCCCCTTCGCCTCACCACAGTCGTGCACAAGACAGAGTACTGTTACTTGTACCTACCTAGTCGTACATAGTCGTATGTACTCGTCTCTACACGGCACACACATACACGACACGGTACGCACATGCTGCCCGCCCCCGTATGCTGTACAACAAAAGTGACAAAAAAAGTCGACCGAAGATGCACCACCTAGCAGCCAGCCAGCCGTGACGCTCTCATCACCAAGAGAGAGAAAAAAATCAAGTCAAGGCGGTGCGATTGGCCGTGGACGGTAATTACATGGGAGAGCTACATGGTAGCGTTTGCGCTGAGTTGCTGCGCTGCGCTCCGGCCCGTCCACAACATGTGGTGGTGCGCCTGAGAGAGTCGGGCCTTCTTTTGCCCCCTCCCCCCTTGCTTCTTCGTTCGAAGGCTTTGCGAAGGCTTCCGCGAGCCAATGCGGCGGGTACGTGTGCTGTTCTATAGACGAGGGGGGAGGGGGTATGCTCCTATAGCGACCGGGAGCCGGGTTGGTCGTGGTGGTTGCGTCTGCCGTGTTGTCGTGTTGGGGGAAGTGCCAGGAGTGGAGTGGAGTGGAGGAGGAGTGGAGGAGGAAGGGGGTGGGTGGGTGGATCAGAATCGTACAATATTGTACTTGTGCTGGAGATATGGTTCATCCATCGGTGGGCGAGAGGGTACGGTATATGCCTTGAAGGACTGGGGACTGGCAGGGCTACAATCTAGGTAATCCAGGTCATCTACTATTCTACATCCAAGACAACAAAAGAACAGAGTGGCAGTGACGCCGACTGCAAAAGTCTTTCTCTCATGATGAATCCCAAGTTTTATTGGAAAAGCAGACCAGGATCTCGACTGCGACCACCAAACACCTACCGTACCCAAGCCCCAAGCAGAGGAAGCCAAAAAGACAAAAGGCTCCTATATCTCATCATTCATCTCATCCTTGACTCGCCCGCTTCGTCCGTGACATGGTGTGCTTTGACGTAAGG